ACCCCGATCCCTTCACCACCGCTCAGTCATCCTTTCTGTACTAAGTACCTCTCTCAGGCCCTATTGACCTGTAGCCTGGGTCCTAATCACCTGATCCAGAGGCTGCATGGTAAGGGTGACCTCTGGTGGCTAAGACATACCCCAGAACTTGACACCTATCACCCTGGGCTATTCCACAAATCCCACCACCTCTTAAAGGCTGCTATCACGAGTGGATTGTTTCAGAGTGGTCTGTCCGTCTGTCTGTTTTGGAGGGCTGAATAATCTCTACTTGGTCTTCCTCTTCACTGAGGATGTAGAAATCTGGAAGCTGTCACCGGCAACCCACTTTCTGCTATCAGCTCTTTTGTTTTGCCTTTGCACTGAGCAGGTAGCTATGAAAACAGCCTCCCCTTATCTGTTGTTTCTTCTGACCCTGAGTGGTTTATTTTAGGCATATTTAAGCACAACACAATTTGGTGAAAACTTCCCTGGTCATAATTGATTCAACCCTGTGTGAATGCTAAAGCATACATAAATCTTGAGGAACAAAGTAGGTTAGATAAAGATTAAATGTGACTACATCAAAAATCTTTATAAAGCCCATGTGACACCTTCCATAAAGACAGGTTCTATAGATCAACTGAGGAAACAGGCTTCTGATAAGGGTCTCGGGGAGACTCAGTGTCGGTCTCCACCACAGTTACCAGGCTAGGCATCAGGTCCACGCCTCGCCTTCTGGGGTTTTAACAAGTTATATGTCCCTCCCTTCGAGGGAACAGCCCAGTGTGCACTACATTCCAGGATCCCTTGTTCTTATCTGTGAGCGCAGGGACACATTCTGTCTTCTACAGAATCTGGTTTTATTCAACCAATCCACAATCTAGATGAAACTACCTCATTCCTTTCTTAAACGCTTGTTTTATGATACTATTACTTTTACTGCATTTTATGGAAATGACATCATTCTTTGTCCAGCATCCTAAAGGCTGGAGAAACACGCTTAGGTTCTCTGTATTCTCCTGCTGTGACTGGACAAAGAAGCTGCAGTGAACATTGTTATGCTGGCCTAAAATCCCTTATCTGCAATTCCAAAGTTGGAACAGCTCAGAATGCTGAATATCTTTCAAATGTTTGGCACACTCCTTTGGCAGCTAAACTCCAGCTGAGCTGCTGTGAGGCTATTTATAGTTTTATAGTGCTTTAATGTGAATTCACGCATCCTTTTCGCTGACACACAACTGCCTTTGATTACAGCTTGTTATCCCAACTCCCTCCAGGGCAGTTAATAATACAGAGTGTGTGCACCAACTTATCCTTCCAACGTACAAGCAATTTTAATTTTTGAAGCATATTAGCACCAAGGGTTTCCAAAAGGTGACAGTAACCCTGACACTCTATGCGTTTGAGTTATATCTTTAGGATACACTTAGAAAGGCTGCATTGCTGAAGGCTCATGCCCTTTAACTTCTGATAAACACTGGCAAATTGTCCTTCAGGCGTTAACTTGCAAGGACAGACAACAATGGCATGAGAAGGAAGCATATTCATTAGTGTAACATAATGTTTTAAAATTAGAAAAACATAAGAGAGCCTCAGTAAACTCTAGCTTGGTATTATGAGTATTATTCCAAATTAAGATAAATTGTAGCTTTTTAAAATTTTGGCAGAATAAAAAAAAATCAACTGAGCCAACCAAAATAGTATGATTCTTTTATTCATATAAACACTTGTTCGATCAATTGTTCATATATTTATCAAGAGCCTCATAAATGCCAGCCATTGATTGAACTATAAATATGAGTCAGAACAACAAAAGGTCTTGGAGCTGGTCCTTTGGTATGTCAAAGGGCAATAAGCAAGAGAAACAAGTACAAATTTTAGATAAATAAATGATGTTTAGACAAGAGCTTCATTATTTATAATATAGATAATATCCCTTATATTCAAAGGTTGAAAATCAAACAGGAAATGGTAAGATACATGAACACACAGCTTGACACAAAAATAGGTGACTTCTAAAGCATGCTCCATCAATACAAGGAAAATAAAAGTAATTCAACACTGGTATATGTCTCTCAGAGTAAAGGCTTCATATGTGGCTGGGCTCCTATAAGTTGGATGGGAGGGTGCACTCCAGGTTAGCTTGGAGAGGAGCAGGAAAAGGAACCTGAGCAGCAGCCTGCTCCTAGATGCCTATCAGGAGGCTTTTAGGGTAAGGAGTGCATTTGGTGATATGCACAGATTTTAGTTTTATCAGAACTTTATACTCTTCCTCCCCCCACAAATTAATGTTCTTTTAGTGTGGGATTCTGTTTTTAAGATTTTTTATGTGTATGAGTATTTTGCCTGCATGTATATCTGTGCACCACTTGTGTCTGGTGCCCACAGAAGCCAGAGAGAACACAGGGTCCCCTGGAACTTAAGATGATCGTGAGCTACCATGTGTGCTGGGAATGAATCTGGGTTTCCTGGGAAAGCAGTCAGAGCTCTTAAGTGCTGAGCCATCTCTCCAGCCCTCAGGTAAATGTTTCATTTTGCTTTTCAGAAGGTTGATAAGGATGGTAAAACCTGAGGTCCATGATGAAATGTTAGATTTGATCAACTATCAAAGACCTCACTGAGGCATGAAGAAAACAAAACAGCACCAACTAAAAGCTTCAGTTGACAACTATCATCTACAGCGTGCCTGCCCAGGGATCACCCACGAGGAGAAGATGGACTCCACAGCCCTGAATTCAATGTGCCCCAGCATGCAAAACAAATAATACAAATTAACAATAAAATTCATCAAAATTTTGCAATAACTAAAACCAGAAATGGACACAGAACAAGAAAAACTGACTGAACACAGGAAATTGTAACAGAAACAAAGACTGATAGGTTAGATGAGAAACACTGCTTTCAACAGAGTGGTGTGGCCTTCCCACAGGACACCTGCCGGGAAAGCAGCCATGAACTCTGTAGAAGGTACAAGGAGAGCAATCCCCAGTGTTCTAAGGAGGAAATACCAGCAGGCATGGTGTGAAGGAAAATTCACAGACTGCTCCAGGCAGATCAGATCCTGGGCCATAAACAGAACTAGGACTCAATGCACTCTGACTATACCAAGCTGAAACTAGAAAAGCCCAACAGACTATACCTAGAAGCCAGTAGCAGCTCTTACAATAATTATTTACCTCCACATGTACAGGTGTTTTGTCTGCATATATGCCTATGCATCTTATGCATATCTGGTGTACAAGAGGCCAGAGGAGGGCATTGGATCCCCTGGAACTGGAGTAACATATCTTTGAGAGCCACCAGGTTAAGCAGGGAATCAAACCTGAGTCCTCAGGACTCTCAACCACTGAGCCATCTCCCCAGCCAAGTACCAACCTTTTAAAGCTCTAAAAGTATCAACATTAAATAACTTCCAATAATTCACTAAAGGAAACCTCAACAGAAAGTAATAAAATAATCTAGGGCTAACAGGAAGAAAATAATAGGTAGCATGTCAGCAAACATGAAATCCAGTTATACCGGGCTGAGAGGGATATTTCTGTAATAAATGCTTATAATTAAACACTTACACCAGCCGTGAAGAAAAGCTTTTAAATAAGTAACCTGTTTTTTTTTTTAAAAAAAAAGAAGATAATTAAAACAAGCAGAGCTAAAATCTCTAAGGAAAATATGTAAGAAACTGGAGAGAAAAAATTCAGTGAGGCAGAAACATGGTGCTCTGAAAACACAGCAAAATGGAAAACCTCCTGCACCACAGACAATGAAGAGATTATCAGTATCAAGAATAAACCAGAGGAATTACTAATCCAACTGGTGAAAAGAAATGAATAACTTGCTGTTCGTAAGGTGACAACACTGGAAAAGGCCACATTTTTCCAAACTCACCAATAACCCAAGCCCAAACTACTCCACTCTCTCGAGGCCAGTTTAGATTATGACTACCCAGCCCCAGGGCCTAGAACTCTCCCCATTCCATCCTGCAGTACCCCATGCTGTCTCCTGGAAATGCTTGGGGAACAGAACCGACTGTCAGAAGGACCGTGGTCAGTCAGCGCCCTTCACGGGGGTGGGGGTGGGGGTGGGGTCTGAACCCCCACGCTCTGGGTTTCTGATCTCTAAGGAACATCCTCATTCTGCTGACGGTCTACACAGATCGTCAATCTCCTCTTCACTGCAAACCCGTGAGCAACAGAGCAAAGAGGTTTCAGTTCACACGTGAGAAATGTGAGTTCACCGTGTAGGAGCCTTTTCCAAATGTGAGTTCTGAGTGGATGAAAGCGAAGAAAGAACAGCCCCCATGCTAAGCTCCACCCTCCTTTCCCGACGGTGGGGGAGGGGCAGGGGCGTGCACTCATTCTCACCTGTATCTTTACAGAAAATCTTGGTCAACAAAATCAAATTTTCATAGCACAAGCTGTAGGGAAATTATATTAATATATCATTTTTGACTTTTATTCAAAATTTTACTGACTTTCTTATATCCCAAGTAATGGAATGGCTTTATTTATGTTAAAAATATCTAGTCATCTTTAGTATTCTGGCTCATACCAAAGGATGCTCAGGTGTGGCTCTTTCAGTTTTACAGAGAAAAGGATTTGGAAAACTCATCATCTGACACACACAAATGAACTATTTCTTTCTCCTTCCACTGTGCACCAGAGGCCGGCACTAGTCCTCAAAGCAGTGTCTCAGACTTTTCTGTTTTGACATTTCATTGAAACGTGAATAAATAATTTTTGCTATAAATTTAATTCCGGTGAAATACAACCATGAAGATAAGCTCTTCATAACAAACACATCTGCCCACGTTACTGAAGACCAGGCTCACCGTGGCCTCCACTCCCTGATAAAAAAACAAAATGCTTCGAAAGAAAAGAAATAATGCGTGTGGCCCAAAGCGGTCACGCTTTGCTCCTGAGACTGACTGTGGGCAGTCACGTGGGGGCCGCTCGGTGGACGATCATGTAAGATTATCTGAAGCAGCACGTGGAGAAGAAAATAAAGGGGGGGGGGGGAACAATTATAGAGAAAGGGAAAGGGAAGGGAAGGGAAGGGAAGCAAAGCAAAGCAAAGCAAAGGAAAGGAAAGTGGCATTGCCCCCTCCTTGCCAGGACTAAATGAAGGTTGAGGCTGCACCTGAACCCAGTCCCTCAAGTCTCATCAGCTGGCTCCAGGTGACAGAATGCTGTATGCAGATGCTGTGCAGGAAGCCTCTAGCAATTCTGAAAGGACACTGTTCTAGAGGGCATTTATTTGGGTCCTCTACTTTGCCCATCTTTCCTCACGTGTGTGTGCATGCCTGCACACATGTGCGCACACAGAGTCATGGAGATCACTCTGAAAGGTAGGAGAGGAGATCATCATGGCTTATGGTTTACGACAAATGTTTATCATCCAGCACAATGGAAAGCCACGTGCCCCGGAAGGTACAGAAGGTACTAGACGCTCAGGAGAATGTCGCTATCAGCTGGGGTGATCCGATTTTTCCATAGTGATCCTAACGCGTTTTTCCAGTTCCAATAAGGTTTGATAAAATTTTTCGGCGGTGTCTTCATCTATGTCCATCTGGAAAACAAGCACAAATAGAAATGACTACAAGAGAAAAATAAAACAAACCACATAGAAGCAAAGGGAGGGCATCCCTGAGTTTAACTGGAAGCTAGGAAGGGGCAGAGGGACCATTCAGGGACCGTTGGGAAATACTGAGGCCATAAATGCTCATGTAAATTCAGCACTCACCAAACCTCCCACTGCCCGCAAAGATATGGAGTGCAAGTGTTTTCCCACGGTCTCCTAGCACCCAAGCAAGGGCTGAAGGAAACGGGAGAGAGGAACTCTAGAGTCTGTAGTGATGTTTCACTTGTATTTTAACAAATAAAGACTGCCTGAAGATCAGAGTAAAACAGCCCCACTGGTCAGACTCACAGAGCAGGCAGTGGTAACACACACCTTTAATTCCAGTTGCCAGACTAGTTTGCCATAGAAACAGAGAGGTAGTGGTGCACGCCCTTAATCCCAGCCCTAGAGAAGACTGTAATATGGGAGGAGACTGCCCTCACACAATCTCATTCTGAGATTCCTGGAGGCAGGATCGCCATTTCGTACTGAGGTAGAGATAAGAGCTAGTGGCTGGCTATTTTGTTTTCCTGACCTTCAGGTTGAACCCCAATATCTGTCTCTGGGTTTTTATTAATCGTGCTACAGGTCTGGATTCCTATAGATGCTCACCCCCTCCAAAGTGCTCCCGTGTGTAAGAAATAGGAGATTCTATCTCAAGTCACTATTCTTTGCATTCTTGTTCTTCCTGCAGAAAATCTTATCTTATCAGGACAAAAAGAACCACTTTCAGCTGCTACAATCAGGCTATCTTTTTTTCCAAGTCAGTGAAAGAGGATCGTCTTAAAACTGAAAGACTAAGGATTAAGGAAACTTGTTAACAATTTGGATGTAACATTTATCCACATTTAATCCTGTTAGTTCTTCATTTTGAAACTGGAGATGTTACAGAACTCGCCTGTGCAATCTCACCTTTTTTTTTTTTATTATGTATACAATGTTCTGTCTGCATGTATGCCTTCCCGCCAGAAGAGGGCACCAGATCTCATAGATGGTTGTGAGCCACTATGTGGTTGCTGGGAATTGAACTCAGGACCTCTGGAAGAGCAGCCAGTGCTCTTAACCTCTGAGCCATCTCTCCAGCCCTTTTTTTTTTTTAAATTAAATTCCTTCCTCAACAATTCTGCGTCTTTATTACACTCATCCCCACCCTCTCTTATGCCCCCACCCCACCCCTCCCTCTTCCTGCTTTCATGTAGTTTTGTCTTTTCGTTGTGACAAACTGGGTTTAAGGGTGGTCCACAAATGCCTGGGTGAGGAGGTCACCACAGCACGGAGGCTCATGGACACACCACTGATGACAATGACCTGCCCTCCTCCAAGATCTGTCCCTAGTTCCCCCTATCAGTTAGAAGAGGGGAGAGCAGATTTCTCCCAGTGAATCAAAAGCTAAAATATTTTCTCCAATGAATTTCATAGAAAATTATATGAAATGCCTGGGTTTGTAAAATTAAACATTTTCTCCCCCATAAGTAAATCACTACCTGTAAGGTTATAAAATAGCAAATTTAAGTAATTTAAATAAACTCTGAAAGTCCTAAAGTGAGCATATTAAATTGCAACAGAATTTCACAAAATATATCATTTTGGATGTTAAGAATCAGTAGTTAACTCAAATTTGAGTTAAACAAATAAAAACCCAACTCAGAGCAGGGAGCATGGTGGTACTTATCTTCCGTCCAGAAGGCAGACAGCAGAGGCAGGCAGACCTGCGATCTGCTTCTGCAGGTCAACCTAGTTAAGCAGCCAGTTTGTGTGGCTAATTTTATGCCATTGTGACACAAACTATGGTCATTTTGAAAGACGGACCCTCAATGGAGGAAAATGATCCCACAAGATTGGCCTGTGGGACATTTTCTTGGTTGGTGAGGGATTTGGGAGAACCCTGAGAGCAGCGCCATCTCAGGGATGATGGTCCTGGGTGCTATCTTCAGAAAGCACAGTGAGCAAGCCACTGGGAGCAAGCCAGTAAGCAGTTCTGCATGGCCTCTGCCTCTGTGTGTGACTCCAGGCTCCTGCCCTGACTTCTCTCATGAAGGACTGTGATGTGGAAGTATAAGGTGCTTAATAAGCCCTTTCCTCCTCAAGTGGCTTTTGTTGCAGCGTTTATGACAGAACAGAAGCCCTATCTAAGACAGAGTTCCAGGCCAGCCAGAGTAACGTGGTGAGACTCAGTCCTAAAACCAAACAATCATAGAGGGGAGGGAGGGAGGGGAGAGAAGCGAAGGGAAGGAAAGGGGTATTGCCCCCTCCTTGCCAGGACTAAAAGGAGGTTCAGGCTGCACCTGAACCAATCACTCAAGTCTCATCCGCTGGGCTCCAGGTGACAGAGTGTAAATGCAGTAAAGAAGAACTTGGAAACGCCGTCATCAACCACGTCGCCTCTGCACCGCTTAACTGTTTCAACATCTCAAAGCCATGCCTGGGCTAATACGCTGTGGGGAACCCACAAGGGAAGACAGTGCGAAGGGTCAACTCTACCTGCCTGAGAAACCACTTCTCGAAAATGCTCCCAAGTCACTGGTATCCAATACACGCTTTCTACGAAAGGCTGCTTTTTACCGGCAGGTGACAGGGGAAGCAGCATTTGAGGCTGGCTGTCACTAGACTCACGCTGCTGCCAAACGGACAGAGGTCACCTACTTGGCTCAATCTAGTTGTATTTTACACCAGTGCATCCTCAGTTCGGGGATGGGAAAAGCAGGCGGCTACAATAAACCTTGCTCGTGACAAAGTTACAGCATGTTCTTGTAGTCCCAAGTAAATATTCTCACTTCCCCCACAATGTAATTTTATATGATTACTTTTAAGATAAGATTTCAAAAGACTAAGCCGGGTGATGGTGGCGCACGCCTTTAATCCCAGCACTCGGGAGGTAGAGACAGGCGGATCTCTGGGAGTTCGAGGCCAGCCTGGTCTACAAGAGCTAGTTCCGGGACCAGCACCAAAGCTACAGAGAAACCCTGTCTCGAAAAACCCAAAAAAATTCAAAAGATGAAAGTGATTTTCTCTATTTTACCCGTCTCTTCAAAGCATCTGTCTAACAATGCTGCTAATAATCTCAAACAGAATGCGCATTCCAAGAGATATTACTGTGACAAAGAAAGATGTTCTCTGTTCCATACAACTCAGGATGTATTTATTAAGAGTCTCCATGTGAGGCAGCATACAAGGGAAGCAGGTACAATCCCTCTCACGAAGCTTACATGCTGAGAGAGGCAGCTGAGAGTGAGTGCTACCCAGAACAGGTCTGAGAAATCCCGTAACAGGGCACAGGGCCCAGTCTAGAGAGACACAGAAGACTGAGAAGAAGGTAGGACCTGAAAGATGAGCAGACATCAACAGAAACACAGGTAAGAGCAGCTTAGTGGGAAGAAGATGCTCTGAGACGGGAGGGAGAAGAAAACAATGAAACAGACCCTGAGGACGCCAGAGTGAGGGCTCAGGCACAGAGCTGTGTGGCTGATCTGTCAGCATCATGAGTCCGGAGTATCTGACTGGCAGCATATTCCACATGACAACACAAACCGAATTACCTTTTGGTCCTTGACGTAATTAGTCCCGAAGCCTGTGGTGGAGCTCACGTATTTGGTCAGAGGGTTGAGAGACTCAGGTTTTTGGTGGAAAAGCCACACCTGGAAGGATAAAGCATGTCAGTGACATCGCTCCTGCCCCAAGCAAGTGAGATTTGCCATCAAGAAATCGCAAGAGTCCTCTCAAAAAGCAGCAGCTAATCTAAGGATCTTTGGAAAGTGCTGTCATGTTCTGAAGGGAGAATATAAGGCAGCCTGCTTCACAGTAGACTTTAAGAGCTAACCTAAGCAAAAAAACAAAACAAAAACAAAACTTCACCCACCTTCTCCCTTAATCCCCATATAAATCCATGTCTCAGACACTGGTTAATTCAGTGTCGTTGTCTGCCCACACCACAGTAAAGCACAGGTCGCTGGGATATTATCAATGAGAAGAGGCACATGTCCACAAGATGTACACAGCACAAAAAGGAAGTCTTCTTTCCTTTCCTATTTTGCAGCCACTTAGCTTACATCTCTGGGAGTAACCCACTCTTGGGAGCAATGTCAAGAAATACCTGCATTGAGAAACACATCCTTCTCTCTTAAATGGAAGCATAACACACAGAGGTTTTCTCTTGAACAACAAACCTGCAAATTTTCCAATCTGTGTATACTGAGCTGTTTTGTTGGCTTCTGAAAGAACAGCATCCCATCCTGGGCATGAGCTGTAACTAGTATGTTCAGCTTTTAGTTAAAGGATATATGCAGCAGACTGCAGTCTCTATGATCACAAACTAAACCACGATGGATGATGAGTACATCTACAGAAGAAATGCCAAAGATGGAAGTTCTTGGTGAAGGGTATGCGCCTTTAATACTTGGCTCACCTTGCCCGTGAGTTCTCCACAGCTCCTACTTCCTTATCACCAGCCACCACAGCCCTGGATCAGATGTCCTAAGCTTTGCTCATCTGAGCTGAGCTCTGAATTATAGATTGAATTTGCACTTCTCTCAGCATCACTGTGATGAAGAATCTTTTCACATGACTGAGAATGTTCAGAATCTTATGTCTGACTTTTTTGCCTGTGACTCCGACAAGTGCTGTCTTCCCTTTGCTGGGAGTCTCGATTTACTAAGAAAATATTTACCTTGATCTAAGACAGATGCTTGTATTCTGCCTTGTGCTTTATTTATAGTGGACTTTGGGACCACACAAAGTTTATTTTAATTTCCACTCTTTTAGAGTGTCCACACTTAGATAAGTCTTTGCATTCTGAAATGTCCCATAAATTCCCCATATTTTCTTCCAAGAATTTTAGGCTTTAATTTTGACATATAAACCCCTTCACCTATCTAGAACATTATTTTGGTGGAAGGCAGGGAATGATGATCATAATCTCCCTTTTGGCTACATCCTTGCTAAAAAGGGCATCTTTTCCCTCCAACTCTGATTATTAACACAGACTAAATCTCTGTACGTTTAAGGGCCAATTTCTAAACTTCCTATTCCATGCCACTGAGCCATCAGATTGTATTTGTATTGATAAAGATCTAATGAGTCTCTGCAATGCCCCTGCTTCCATTCACTGCTCTGGTTCTTATTTTATATAAAATAAATGGATGAAAAACATGCTCGAGGGTTCCAAGCCAGGAACCAGAGAACTTGGATCTGAAGGGTAACCATAATTCTGACATCCTCATATTTGGCCTATGCCTTTGCTCAAGCTCAAACTCCCCTCCTGAGGAGGCAAAACTTACACAGCCATTGAGGGAGACCCTAACTGCCCACGTGATGCCCTACCATCCCATCATCGGCGGATGATGTTTGGGATGATGCCCTTCTACTCACGTACATTTCAGAAAATTATAGCAAGATCACCATGGATTTTAACATTTATTTTTATTCTATGGGTATTTTTCCTGCATATATGTATATGCCTACAGAGGTATCAGAACTCTTGGAAGTGGAGCTACAGTTGTAAGCTGCCATATGAGTGCTGGGTCCTCAACAAGGCCAGCAGTACTCACCACTGAGCTGTTTCTCCAGTCCTTCACAATGAAGTTTTTCAACTGCAACACTAGGATCCTGGTGCTCATCCTATCCAAATCGCCTGGTCCCTCAGAGCCCAGATCTAGCTCCACTCTAATCAAAGTCAGTTCTGACGACCTCACTCCCAGTGGGTCCCATGTTCCCCACCCAATGACAAGAAGCCTTGCTTCCTTGCCTATTATATGGATTCATTACTTTCACAAACTTAACTCTAAGCTACGTAGTATCAGAGGATTTTTCTCTTCTAAATATATCCCACACCACTGAAGCTCAGAACATATGTGACCCCAGACACAGATGTACAGAATGAGAAATCCCTCAAGGACTGCGCACTAATGCTTCTTATATCTTGGGATCTATATCAATACCGTCTAAAAGCACTTGTTCACAGTTACTTTGTGCCTACACAAAAACCTATTTGATTCATCCCCTTTATGTTTCCCCCAAACTCAATTTGGTCAAGATTTAAGAAGCAGTCAAGCCTGGACCCACAGTACTAGCCCTCAAGTTTCTAGGATGAAAGTCAGGACTCAGTAGATTGAGTGCCACCAGTGAGAACTAAGACAACAGGAATCCAATCAGAAGGCATGAAGAACAGATGGCAAGTCTCTTCTTGGGTGAGAATTCTGAACCACAAGTAGAGGTTGTCTGTGGAGCTCTGGGGTTCTGAGTGTAATATACAAGAAAATACAACTATAGCTCAACAGCAATGCCTGTCCTGGACGAGGAAACACACACAGCCCACCGTTAGGCACCATTCAAGGAAATCCTATTTTCCTAATAAGATCCTCTTATACCTTGATCCTCTCGTACCAAGATAGGAAGAAACATCTTTACGTTTTTTTCTTTAGGTGTATTTTATGTGGATGGGTGTTTTACTTGCATACACGTCTGGACCACGCGCATACCAGATGCCTATGGAGGTCAGAAAAAAATGTTGGAGCTCCTGAAACTGGAGTTAAAGACAGTTATGCCACATGGGTGTTGAGAATCGAAGCGGGTATCTAAAGAACATGTGTTCTTAACCACAGAGCCACCTGCCGGCTCCAGGAAGGAAACTCGTTAGGTGACAAGAGGGTTTGTTGCCTCGATGTTTATCCCACAAGGCACACCTCCCCGATGGGAACTCATTCACGAGTCACCTCCTTGCTTTAACTGACTCGACAGTGTCCTGCCACCTGTCCTGAGGCTCTTGGTGCAGCTTACTTCTATAGAAATGTGTTGTCTATAGTCAGGTATCTAACATCATAGCAGACGTTAACTGTCAAACTTCTGATATCTTGTGTGTAACACAATACTTACCTTAGTCCCAAATGGAACTTGCTTGTCCACAGAGCTTGTTCCCTTCGAGCAGTGGTTCTCAACATTCCTAAAGCTGCAATCCTTTAATAATACAGGTCCTCATATTGTGGTGACCCCCAACCATAAAATTATTTCGTTGCTACTTCATAACTCTAATTTTGCGACTGTTATGAATTCTAATGTAAATATTTGATGTGTGACCCCTGGGAAACAGTCATTAGATCCCAAAGGGATCGCAACTCAGAAGCTGAGAATCACCGCCTCACAGCCTTTTACCCAGACACTGCTCACTGCCATCAGGAACGTGCACCCTTCTGTCACTAAGCCATGTTGTAGACTATGAAACTCTAGTAACATACCAGCGCTTCTGCTCCATTGTACGGTGTCAGAGTGAAAGCGTTTGCAAAAAAGCGAATCTGACGAAAAGAAAACAATGGTTGTTACGAGGCTATTTAGAGCAGTAACAAAGAGTAAGCTTTTCTCATTTAGATTCAAGAAAGAAAATTTGCATTTATGATTACTGTATATCAAAAACGTCAAGCCGAACAGAAGTCTGTCACTCCGAGTTGAATTCTTAATATTTCAGAACCCAGAATTAAAAGAAAAAGATCAATGTTTACCACTTACCAGCCATAACAGCGGCAAGAGCAATGTCCACACAAAGGGCGGCAGAATTCCATATGTCAGATTGGTCAGTACTACGCCTGGGCACATCACACTGGAGTACAGACCCTGGGAACACAGGAGAGTCGTCTGAGATTGTCATTCAATGCATACTGACTCAGTTCACGGATGCCCGTTAATAAAAGACACACATACAAGCCGGGAAAACAGGGAATGGAAGGTTTGCACTCTCATGTGTCCCTGTAACTTAGTAGGGCCATTTAAGTCTAAAATCACTTCCTAGGACCAGGAAGCAAAGGTTATTAGCAAGATGAAGTCTGTTCTCAAGACACTTATAGTTTAAAGAAGAGCCAATCTTAATGATGGGAAAGGAAAGTGGGGCCTGACTACAAAGATTTTCTATTATTGGTTTAATTAAAGATCGATTCGTCACCCCCCAATAAGTATATAATGGGCTTACTGAGTTTAATTCTTGCCTTCAACTTGCTTCTGATTAATTAAATACAGTTGCTAAATTTAAAATTATGCTGTTTCCCTAAAGCAGAGGTTCTCAATCTGTGGGTTACAATCCTTATGGCAAACTTCTACCTCAAAAACATTTATAATACAAGAAATAACAGTAACAAAACTACAGTTATGAAGTAGCAACAAAAATAATTTTATGGTTGGGGGTCATCACAACATGATAACTATATTAAAAGGGTCACAGCACACTTGGGAGGCAGAGGCAAGTGGATCTTTGTAAGTTTGAGGCCAGCCTGGTCTACAAGAGCTAGTTCCAGGACAGACTCCAAAGCTACAGAGAAACCCTGTCTCGAAAAAAACAATAAACAAATAAATAAATAAATATATAAATAAAAGGGTCACAGCATTAGGACAGTTTAGAACCACTGACCTATAGGAACATAGCTGAGTTGGACACTCTTGGCATAAGGAGGAACAAAGATCTTCAACTCAAGATCTCTAGCCAGGTCCTGAGTGAAGGACTGATCACTATGTAAGGATCTATCGTATACTTGTGTGTATATGTTTACATTTATACACACACAAACATATATATGACAATATATATGTCTCTATAAAGAAAGCCTCAGTTAATACAGGGATTAAGGTAATAAGAATTACCCTGTGCCAACCATAGTAAGCCCTACAGCTCTGTAATTAATTTTATTACATTTTATATTATTGTTAGAGTGACTAATTTAACTCATTCTTGCAACTTTTAATCTTGTTCTCTCTCTTTCCTTTTAAATAAAAAGTAGAAAATGACCATAAAAAGTAGCTCATTCCTGTAATTCTAGCCCTTGGAAAGAGGCAGAATTTTGAATTTGAGGCTCAAATAAACTACATAACAGTCCAAGGCCAGTCAAAGTTACATAGTGACACCTTGTCTCAAAAGGGAAGCTGGGTTGCTCTAGGGTTGTAGCTCAGTTGACAGACTGCTTGCCTGGCATGTAGAAAATCAGGTGTGATGGTGTTTGAGGCCAGCCTGGAATATACAAGATGCTGAAGAAAGAGAGACAGAAAGATAAAACAGAAACCTGTCACCAGAGAGCTGAGCTCAAGTGAAATGGCACCAAGTACAAAGCCCCAGGTTTGATCCCCAACACCAAAAAAACTAAAATAATGATTAATTTGTTGAAAAGGTAAGTCAAAAGTATGGAAAATATCATTAGAAAGGCTTCAAATGGAATCCACCAATGTAATTCTTTCTAATTCTTGCTTGGGAATGCTGAAAAAAGAAAAATCATGGGCTGAAAACAAATCTGACAGACTTTAAGACAGCTTCATCAACTTAATCACTCTCCCTCTTTCTTCAAAAAGATAAAATTCCACACCTTACTTGCCAACTAGAATGTAAATAAAATCCCAGAGCTTTTTATGAAAAATAGAACAGAGTCAGCTTGACCCCGCCTTCTGAAAAGGGAGAACCAACAGGATTTGGACAGGTTTTAAAGGTCTCAAAAATGCTAGAAGGAAATGCATAGTTGGACCAACACACGAACTCCGAGCTGCAATGAAAACCAGAAAATGCCCATGGGAAAGACAAGAATTCCTGTTAAGATTCTGGACCTGGGCAATCGGTTGATCCACGGCAGCAGGGATTTCCAGGTGGCTGTGGTCAGTAGAAGCAGCAGGACCGATAAGGTTATTTCCCCCTTTCTATACTCTGTAACCTTACAGAAACAGAGCAGAATCTTATCATGACCTTCCAGAAGGTTTATGACATCTGGCTGCCTTTCAGTCACTGGCGTGACAGAGGCTAAAAGGCGTGAGGCTTAGCAGGGAAAAAGGTAGCCTTGAGCTCTACTGTAAGCGCTGCCATTCACAAGTCATGTGACCTTTGAGCACATGACTCCTCACAAACTTAAGAGTTCTCTTCTGAAAACTGGAAGACTGAAAGCCACTCAACTGCAGAGGGGTGACATTCAATGACATCACAGGAGGAGAGTACAGCACTGGAAGTGGTCAAGGGCCGCCTGTTAGCAGAGGCCAGCGTTCCTGAAGAATACAGCCTGGTAAACAATCTGCACCTCCCTAAGAGGACAGGAGCTGTTTATCCCTCCCCTGTAGCTTTCACTATAAGAGTTAGGGGAAGCCAGCCACGCTCTAGAAATAGCGGCTCTGATGGTTAACTTCTGGGTCTCTGGGACCAGCCTTGCCTTCTGGTTGAAATTCCTGTTCAAAGCCACATTCAGAAGGTCAGTAGCGTATTTGGAGGAGCTGTAGGGTTCCGGGCCTTTGCTGTGCTGGATATCCTCAAGGCTGAAGTTAGATTTCTTGGCATTACGAGAAGAGGTCCAGATGAGCTGGGAGGGGCTGTCACTGTGGCAGAGAAGGGGTTCCAGTTCCCGGATCTGAGTGAAGAAGACACAGAATAAAAAAGCTTCACAATCCACTGAGGGGCACATGCTAACAATTTAAAACACCCGATAAGACACCCCAAGCCAGGTGATCAGGCCAACAAGGAAAGGCCATAAACTCTGTCATCGTCATTCTGAGCCAGGCTGTCACTATGCTCTACACTATGCTCCATGCACTGCGTCCACAGGCTGGCTCTGAACTCTCCATCTTCCTGCCTCCGTCTCCCAAGTGCTGGGATTATAAACACGTGCCAAACATGCCTAACCTTGGAATATGTACTCTTGATATGAGGTGATGAGAAAGGAATTTATATTTACAGTCTTTCCAAAAACATTCTGCAGACTAACCATGAGCTAAACATCAGGAAATCTGAGAGACAGTCTGTGAAACACCTGGGTAGAAAGCCCATGAACTGTGAGGTCCTCAAAAACAAGGCAAGACTGTAAAACTCCCACAACAAAGATCCTAAGGGACCTTGACTATAAAATGGATGTATGTGGTGCCCTGGATCGAATCCCAGAGCTGATAGTGAGACTTTAGAAAACTGGCAACTTAAGTTAGTACAGACTTACTTAATAACATACCAGTACTGTACCATTTATTCTGACAAATGTACCATACTGACACAAAATGTTAATAAGAGAAACTGAATACAGGATGCACAAGAACTCGCTGTACTATCTTTGCAAAAGTTTTGTAAATCCACAACTACTGGAAAACATTAGTTCATTAGAGAAAAATCTACCAACAAAGCTTCCAGATGTGCCCCATGCACAGTGGACAAATGAGCCGAACACAATCAGGAAGAACTCCATAGATAAAACCAAGTCCCACTCCTCAGCAGCAAGACCTCGCTGAACCTGGAGCTCACAGAAAGAATCCCCACTCTTTACCACCACGATGGGTGCCAGCTCAGCATTCTTACATGCTAATCAAACCAGCAATGGATCTGTTTGTTCATTTACACGACCCCTAAATTCAGGTTTGTGTTTCATGAACTGTGGTCAGATTCCTAAACCTAACTGAAGTAGAAGGCACTGCAATCACAGCTTTAGAATCTGGTAAGTGTGTTCTGACACACGCACCCCTCCCCAGGATAACATGTCTGCCTGCAGAAAGACATACTAGGACGTCTGTGACAACTGCCCCATGACCACAGCTCTCATTTGTTTTCCTAACAATTTAACTCTATAAACCATATATACATCAAAACTTGAGACTATCAATATTATTAATGAATTAATTCTCTGTCATTACCTCTTTTTATTTCAATATTGTTTGTTTGCTTGTTTGCTTGCTTTGAGAAAGGGGCTCACACTGTAGCCCCAGATGGCCTCAAGCTTGCAGCAATCCTCCTATCTCAGCCTGAGCATTGGGATACAGGTGTGAGTCATCACTTCTCAATTACTGTACAAGCTGTCCCATAAGAGTGAGCCAGAGGCAACCTCATAGAACACACTTAGATAAGTCACACATCTCATGCTGAATCTGCTATATGTGCCTAGAATTGGACTTTCAAGTATGGGCTCTTAAGAAGAAACCATGATAATGAAAAGCCAACTCTGCATCAGTGTCTAATGACAGCATGCTGGCTATCCCGGGCTACCTGTGTCTAACAACAGCATGCTGGCTATCCCGGGCTGTGTCTAATGACAACATGCTGGCTATCCCAGGCTATCTATCTGTGTCTAATGACAGCATGCTGGCTATCCCAGGCTATCTGTGTCTAACGACAGCATGCTGGCTATCCCAGGCTACCTGTGTCTAATGACAACATGCTGGCTATTCTGGGCTATCTGTGTCTAAGGACAGCATTCTGTCTATCCTAGCCTATCTGATGCCAAGCCCAGTTTTTAGAACTACTTAGGGCAGAACTAATGTGCTTTTTCTGCTGTTATACATGTCATTTCCAATAGGTGACTGGGGTCTGGTAATCTGCTTCCTCTGTTCTCTAGGTAAGCAACATTTCCAGAGGCCAGCAGACAGACTTCATTACTCAAAGATTTCATGGTAACCAGACTTTAAGGAGCCTTCACAAAACAGTCACATGTCTATTCACATTGTCGCGATCACAATGTGAATGTGATGGAATTAGTAGGACCCAAGCCTTTTTTTTTTTTTTTACCAGGATAAAGTGGCCAAAGAGATTTGTTTCAAACACCTCCTGGAAGCCATCAGCAGTGACCTTGTCATTCTGGGTCAACAGTCCTTCCGCTGTGGAGAACATATGAACCACATTTCTGAAACAGCAGAAGACAGCGGGGTGACATTTAATGCTCCTTTAACTGAAAACATTAAAGATGTTACACACACACAGACACACAGACCTTCTTTGAAATTATAATGACAAAATACCAACTTCTTGGCCATGTGTGAGTATTAAATGAGTTACTAAATGCTTTTTCCCCCACTGCACCAATTCATGGATGTACTTATCATGCCTGTCTGCTCCCACTACCCAATCAGATTACATGTAAATTATTCTTGGGCAATCACAGCTACGCCAATGAGAAAAGGTCTCCAGCCATGTCAAGTGTGTTTGATTACTGAAAAAGTTAAGCAGGTTGTCTTTTTCACTAGGAATTCTAGAAGCATCAAACAGCTTAGTAGTGGGATCTGTGCATGTTTCGTCTTCATGGAAGAAAAGTGAAGAGAAAGTAAACATGAAGCCCACATCAATGAATAAACCTCTATGAATAAACGCACTGGGTTGCAAACCGGACTTATTTCTGACTCTGGTTCATGGCTAGATAGCTTTGAAAGGCACTAGACTCGTGAGGATTGAGAGTCTCTCAGGCAGACATGCGTTATTCGCATCCTCTCAGCCTACTGGCCAGAGTAGCTGGCACGTAGCTAGGTATCTTCTGATGCAGGAGGCTGTCTAAGAATGCCACATATCTAGGACCGTTCCGCCAGCAGCACATTCAGCCAAATCAAACGCTGATGGCATGATCCATCTGACAATATGGAATGTTCCAGAGTCTTAGAACATTATAAAAATCATGACAACGTGCGGAGTTCTCCACAAAGACGAGTACTTGACGTGCCTACTATGGATCAACTCCTCCTGTCCAGGTATCTTCATCCTCCTCAGCGTCCCCTCACTCAACAAAGGCAAAACCATGGCAGCAGAATGAATACCTTTCTTGCAATCGGTTCACCTAGAACTGTGGTTCTCAACCTTTCCTAATGCTGCGACCCTTTAATACAGTTCCTCATATTGTGGTGACCCCCACCCCCCACACACACCATAAAATTATTTTCATTGATACTTCATACATGTAATTTTGCTAGTTATGAATCGTAATGTAAATATCTGATATGCAGGCTATCTGATATGTAACCCCTCTGAAAGGGTTGTTTGAGCTTCCTCCACCCCTGAATGGGTTATAACCCACAGGCTGAGAACCACTGATGTAGAACATAAAAATTACCTTGAAAAGATGCCCAAGAAAAACGCTTTGAAATTTAGTTGGGGATTAGGCATGATCCCAGCATTCAGATATAAGTAGTCTAATCTTTGAAACCTACAAACAAAACACCAAAATGACATTATTAGAAAAGACAAGACAAGAGTGCACTCCTCCCCTAGAATACAGAAGATCCAAGCACAGAAAAACCCTTTCTGAACCAACTAAGATGTCCATGCAGGCTAAGAAACACCAGGGTTAAATAGTTCTTTCTCAACAGTTTCTCTAGCCATAGTGAGTATCTTTGCTCTGGGTGGTTTCAATTGGGCTTTCAAGTTAAATTTCTATAGAAAAATCCAACTGCGGCCCACCAATCAGGCACTGAACATCCTCTATCAAACCATCCTCCTCCTCGTCCTCCTTTTACAAAGCTACTGCCCTTCTTCTCAGTTCACATCTTCCATAGCTGACAAGTTAAATTTACATCACGTATAGCAGGCCTGACTGGACCGATCAGCGCCAGAATCTGGATGGCCTGGTATCTACCAAAACAGAAGACCCAAGTGGAAACCAATCAGTGCTCATGGCCAGGGTCTATGTATCATAAACTGATTAATAGCCACTCTCCTACCCTGACATTGTAAATGCCCTGTGGGAATTAGGTATGGTGAAGCTGAGAAACACAAACCTGAGTGAGCTTTTCCAGTTCTGGAACTTCATAAGCTTTAATATAAATGCATCCCTTTGGAAAGAGGATCAAAGCAGGCAGTAGGTGCTCCCATGATACCCAAGCAAGACACATGCTCAGAGTATCTCCCAGAACCCTAGGCAGCACACTGTGTCCTCCACGTAATCAAGGACAGATCCACAGCTAATAAAACTGGACGTCTGAAATATATGCTTGGCTGACAATATGGATTGTGCACCTGCATTTCTTGATCATGCTATGTAATAACCATATGGTCCAAACTATTGAAACGACTATTTTAAGTGATGACACTGTTGCCACTATAGCCGCCACTCATCATGGAGGTGAAGCCAGTGGGACCCCAGGTTAATTACTCTATTATCAAACTTTAGTAATAGGAACTTCTTTTCCTAGGCATGGAAAAGCAAGGCTTAGTAAAAATGTGGGAATGAAGCTCTGGCTTCAACCAAACAATGTAATTAGTGTATTCAAAGATGAAAGGATTGCCATAGTGTCTCTATCTAGATAAAAACAGCATCAGTATTTCTTATGGGTTCCAGCCGAACAGAGGACTGTGTGTGGGTGGAGAGACCTGGTGTCAGATATAAAGATGCATTTGCCCACTGGAAAGGGTACTTCCAAGCTCTCAGGGCTCTGAGGTCATTCTGCACAGATTCCCTCAGCACAACACGTTTTCCAGCCTTACATTTACTTCTCATTTACCTCCCCTTACTTCCCTGTCCTTTCTCATTTGACTAACTGCTGTATTTACCGCCCCTTACTTCCCTGTCCTTTCTCATTTGACTAACTGCTATGCGACACTACCGCATCTATCAAAAGGAGACGTACTTTTGCTTGATTTCCTTTGCACCCTGGACCACCGACCGCAGGCTGCTGACATCCATCTGCACAATGCTGACTTGGGCGGAGGGGTGAGAGGCCAGCAGGGCATCACGAACGGCTCCGGCTTTGCTCAGGTTCCTACACGCCAAACACAGGTGAAGCTCCTCGTCTTCTGCCAGCAGCCGACTGCAAAGGGCCAGCCCAATGCCACTGAGGAGACAATCCAGGCACAGGGCATGAGCTCATTGAAATGGTCGGACATTAAAACATTTCTCTCTGGTTCAGACACCTGACTGTGTCAACATGAGCTTCAACAAGAAGCGTGGGCAGACAGAAAATACCCAAACATCACGTGAAGGAAGAAACCCCCTCATAAGTCACTTGATTAGGCTCACATCTAGTTGTTCCCCTCTAAAATAGTTCAATGACACAGGAAGTAGGGTTTGCGGTACCTGTTGTGTTGGGATTTAATATATCCCAGCAAATGCTGTGAAGAGGACCTTATAGGCTGTTTATTATGTCCCCATTTTCTTGTGCTTTCTAGGTCCCTCAAGGGCGTTCTACCTCCTTTTGGTGTTGTTGCTATTAGGGAGACCGTCAATCCCGAAGAGTGAACAGGGTCGTTTCTGTGCTGCTCTCCTGTCCCCCAGGAGAAAGCACAGTAGCATGGCAGGAGGTTGACTCCCTGTCAACTACTAAATCACAGCAGGACAATCAAGAGAAAGAAAAGGCCCTAGGAGCAAGTGACAAAAAGTACGAATACAAATCGGAGAGGAAGACAGAGAAGCAGGGATGAAAGAGCATAGCTCACTGAAACCTTAGACACACTAGGTCAGAAAGAGCGATATGAAAAGTGCCCAGCAGATGGGGCCAGTTTCTGGCAGCAATGACATCCTGGGTACTAATAAATTCTCAGGCAGACTGCCAGCAAATCGAACATCAAAATGAGTCTGGAGTTCACATAATCGGGTGGCCCTGCCAGGAGTAGCAAACATATATAGGCCTACTGATCCTTCCTTCAAAAGGGCAGACCTTTAGTATAAATATACAATTGCACATACCACAATGAATAACAAAGAAACACAAGATCAGGCCTGACTTTTGTATGCACCTTCCACTAAAACCAGTTTACCTAAAGGAGAGGACACGCTAACAAAAGCCCAAGAGAAACCCCTCCTACAGTGGCTTAGTTAGCACGGACATAGTTAGATCTGTATGAATTCCTCGAAAATATCAATGTAACCAGCTTGGAGAAAGGTTGGTCGGTTTCATCCTCCACACATTCTTCGTGGACAAATAAGAAGTCTAGTAGGTAACAAAGTAGGGCAAGGGTCAAATGAGCAAGCCTGGAATAGGTACGAACTGGTGACTGCCTTAGGACAAGCTTTAACAGGAAGCGACTGATCGTTCGATATGTTTCTGAGGAGAGTATGCGAGGCGTGCGGCAGGAATGAAATCTCCCATTGTCGTAAAGTTCGTGGAGGCTGACATTTAAACTCCCGGAGTGTAAGGCACACGGCGTGTTTAGGGTTAAAGTAAACTGAGGATACCTACAGTAACTAGTGGAGTCTGGGTCACTGATGGAGGGGATGGCAGAGTCTGAATGAAACCGTCAGGTCCCTTGAGAGCACTCCAGGGCTCAGGATCACTGTCAGGCTGATCAGTAACTGGAGCTCTGGTTTTCCTCTCCACTTCATGCTTAATTCAAAGCGCCAGTTACCAAGCACCCACAAGGGCAGGCCTGACCACACCTCTTGGGAGGCCCAGAGAAGGGCAGGGCAGGGTCTCTGTGGAATCCCCAACGAAGTGAGTCCAGAGTCACAGACCTGCGCTTCCCCGCACCCCGGAACTTAGCCTCCGGGGTTCCGTAGGAAGCCTCACCTGCTCGCCCCGGTGATCAAAACCACCTTCGGCATCTTGCACGGCGCGCAGCAGAGTTGATCTGCACCGGCGACCACAGCAGCTCACGGCCTGGACCACGATCCGCGCCCTTGCGCACCACGGCCAATCAAGGCTCTGCCAGGCCCCACCTCCCTCTTGCGTCATCCGTCTCCGCCTAGGCCAGCCAATTGCAACCCGGCATCCTCTCTCCACGCCGGGGCCTGGTGGGGTGAGATAGGCCGAGGGGCGGAGCCACGTGACACAGGGGTCCTGGCCAATCAAGGCAGCCCCCGCCCCCAGGACTTTTTGCAGGAGGTGTCACCTCGGGGCGGGGTCTTTGCTCTGCGTAGCGAAAGCGGGCGGGCAAAGGTGGAAGCATCACGTGGACGCTGGCAGAGGGTGGGGTGCAGGAACCTAAGTCCAAGGTTGCATCTTAGAATGTGTAGAACCGTCTTCCGAGCCTTTTCTAAAGCATAATCTTTGAGAAAAGGAACGTGGATTTTATTGTGTTTTATTTATGTCGAGACACGGGTGAATTAGCAATTTCCAAGCTCTGAATGTGGAATGGAAATGAGAATTTCAGAACTCTTAAAGGAATGTGTGCTGTCATCTCCTGCAGTGCCTGTCAGGCCTCTGTAAAGGGCCTTTTTTTGTCGCCCAGATGAGTATTTTGCAGAGAGTGCGGAAGGGGAGGAAGCTAAGTAATGAGGGAGGGAAGGCCAAATGCTTATAAGTTACAACCCCCACTTTTTATTAAGTCTAATTCCTATAAAAGTACCTTGCACTGCTGTTATAATCCTTATTCCAGTTTTCGCTATTTATGGATGGTTGAAAGTCCCCAGTAACATTGAGTAAAGGTACTAGTACTTATACTTACTGCGACTAGACAAACTCCATACCTCTTTCAGAGCTGTAGACTGAATAGCTGTGATCCTAAATGATTGAGATGATATTTTCTGGGGTTTGATCTTGATGTTTTGATTCATGATACCAACTAACAGCTAAAATTAAAATGGATTTTTGATCATTTCCTCAAAGATGGTATCTTAACAGTATTTACTAAAAGCTTTGGAGTAAAATTCTTTGTGATCTTGAGATTCTATACCCAAAGGAGTCTTTCTTTTTTGTTGTTTTGCTTTGTTTTGTTTTTGGAGGCAGGGTTTCTTTGTGTAGCTTTTGCTGTCCTGAAACTAGCTGGGATTAAAGGTGTGTGCCACCACTGCCAGGATCCAAATGTTCTTTTTAAACCCTGGAGTTCAGAGGTGACATGGAAGAGAGCAGAGAGAACTATGTGGCTCTCCAAAAGAAAACCCATTTCTTAGCCAGGCAGTGGTGGTGCAGGCCTTTAATCCCAGCACTCAGGAGGCAAGAGACAGGTGGATCTCTGTGAGTTCAAGGACAGCATGGTCTACCAAGTGAGTTCTAGCACAGGCTCCAAAGCTACAGAGAAGCCCTGTCTTGAGAAAACCAAGAAAGAGAAAGAGAGAGAGAGAGAGAGAGAGAGAGAGAGAGAGAGAACCCATTACTTTAAAGAAGTCAGAAAGCACAATGCCAAGGCCAAGCAGTGTATCCAAACCGCACCCTAGGGTAGCTCTGAAAGTGGCCAACATAAAACTGTAAACTTAAATAAAATATTATGAGGTTTATTTTGAGATTTTTTTTCAAATTGCTATCACCAGACAAGTATAAAATTTATTTTATGTAAACATAATTTCTGAAAGGTAGCAAAGAATTTCCCTCTTCAGATGAAAAATGAAACTCTTTCGCCAGTGTGTCTGCATACAATAGCTCTGTTGTACAGTTCTGAGCATGAACTTTGTCCATGGACGCATCATTTATCACAATGTCGGGTTGGATGTGTCAGCTAGGGACTCAGCCTCACCAAAGTCTCAGATGAGACTTGCTGTAGGGCCAGCTTTGCGTTACACGATGCCTGGAAGACTTCAGAGAAAGTCTGTCCTCTCTCCCCTACATCCTAGGCCAGTGAGAAAATCTGAATGCCGCCTTTCATTTTACTGAAGTTTGTTTTTGTTTTTTATTTTTTGAGACAGGGTTTCTCTGTAGCTTTGGAGCCTGTCCTGGAACTAGCTCTTGTAGACCAGGCTGGCCTCGAACTCACAGATCCGCCTGCCTCTGCCTCCCAAGTCCTGGAGTCGCTGCATTCAAGGCCCTGTGACCTTCAAGCCATGGACTTGACTGTGGCACTAAACTGCTTCATTTTAAAAATAATTTGTCATAGGGAGGATAGAACCAAAAACAAGTGGAATATATTTCACTCTATAACTGAGTGGGTTGTTTATTTATTTGTTTTTATCTCCCTAAACTAGTCATCTTGGGTTTGTATTATTCAGGGGCTTCTTCTGTTGGGTACCAGAGCAGTGTGGCACACAGTGGGTCTACCTATCAGTGACAAGCCTTGATAGATGAGTTGAATGGTAGGTGTACCAATTTTATCATTATTTATGCTCCATATAATAGATATGTCTCTACCCTAAGCTCTGGAGCTGATCTCTGGTTTGTTTATTGTTTTTTTTTTTTTTATCATACAGTAGATAAGGATGAGGAAAGGATCTTTTGCTCCTATAACAAAGCTCCATTCTTGGTCCTTGTAAACTTTCCCAGAATTGCCTGCCTCTGATTTGCAAACAGAACTAAAGAGCAACTGCAGGCTGGCGCTGTGTAGCTTGTCTTGTTTATATTTTTCACCTCTCTTCCTGGAAATAATGCGTTCAGTCTGACCCAAAACTAACTCAGGATTTTTCCCAGTTCACCGATGGCAAACAGTGCCATGTTACCCTGGGTAGGCTCCAAGAACTACAGAAGAGAACAGTTTGCAGATATGTGGCCACTTCTTTTTCAAATGGGGAATAAATATAAAACAATACATGGAAATTAGTTTTCTTGTTCTCTGCGACTTAGCCAAGCCCCTGCGAGTTGCTAATGGAAAACTGAATGGACATAATTTCCATCCTCATTAGCAACCTGTATGTTAGATACATGAATAATTGGCCTGTGTGTTTGTGTAAATATGGATGCAAATCATCATTCATAGCTGCCTTTAGGCCTTGGCAGTAGGTATTGACAGCAGAATTATATCTCTGAACACCTCCAATCCCCTTGTTTCCTTTCCTTCCATCCCAGTTCCACCACTCAGTTACCTGAATTCCTGGTCTTGGGTCCCGAAGTCCCATGCATTGCAGAGGCGGAAAGAGCAATCGTGACCATTCTGTTTATTCTTGGAGCATTTACACCCATCCTCTTACCTACTGTGACAAGCTCTGGAAGAAGCATGCTCAGGGTACCCAGAAATCTGTTCTGCAGGTTGATGTCAAAAGTGTTTGGGGTCGTGCCACCTTAGTCTCTATTGTGAAGCTTGAATCTGGGTTCCAGTTGTCTGCAGTGTGGTTGGCTTATGCTTGTGTTATCAGCCACCTGAGACAGGCCATGCCATCTTTGGAGTTAGTAGAGATTTCTGTCTAAAACAAACTCTTAAAAAAATGACTATAAAGGCCCTCCAGATAGCAAGGCTATCTTCCAGGCAGGCACAATAGTGTGAAGGTATAAAATCATAGTTTCTACTGTATTTGGATATGTCAGAGACATAGCTGTGTTAGTTAGCTGTCAACTAATATCATAAAGAAGCCTACACACACACACACACACACACACACACACACACACACACACACACACACGTGTGTGGCTGAGTAACCCTAATAAAGATGTCCAGACCGCATGTACCTATAGCTCTTCCCCTGTGTCTCATCAGTACTACACAAACTGTATAGGGAGGAAAGATAACAGAGACCCCCAGAACCGATGCTGCTTAGACAGAAAGGAGGCCCCATCAGTAGCATGACTCTTTAATCTGTTATTTACAATGTATCATCCAACAGACTTACAGAGAATAAATAAAGAAAATACACTATTGGCATCACGTTCTGCTCCTTTTTCTAATACAGAGGAGTTTTGTGTATTCTGTTTTAGAATGACTATGATAGTTTTAGGCAGAAATTAAATCCATTTGCTGCTTAGCCCTTAACAAAGCACATTATCCACCCCAGCCCGTGAATAAAGCCCAGATGTTGCCTCATCATGGAAGAGTCCACCATACTGCTGCGCAAAGTCAGTCCTCAGGAGCAGTTACCAGACATCGGGCAAGAAGAGCTGCATCCTTGAATAGCAAAGAATGGTTCAGATGACTGGTGCAGATTGCAGCCCCTCAGTGTGTTTGCAGAAAAGCTCCCAGCTTTCCCCGTCATCCAAACCCCTTTTAAAGAAAAGACGTTTGCCCCGATATTGACTGCCTGTGCTTTCCCTTGACAGATGTTTCCTTGACACGCAGTTGGGATTGCAGATCAGCCTTGGAACTCGTATCTGTTCTCCCAGAAGACCTGTAAAGCGACTGGCAAGGTGTCTGTAGGAGAAACTAAATCAATAGCTCGGTTCAAAAGAGCTAGATTTGGAGCCAGGGTCTACTCTCCGCCTTTGAACTAGAGCCCTGGGAGAAGCACCACGCGTGCTGTCTGAATCAGCGTCACCACCACAAGACACAAGGGGGTACATGCTGCAGGACACTTTCTTCCCTTTTCTTTTTATGTTTTAACAGAGCACTTCTCCCAAAATTCACACTTGTGATACATAACAATTTTTCCATACTTTATTCACTGAAAACATAAAATTCACAAAATATTCACTTGTGTGCTAGGAACTTCATAAGCCACAGACAGTTATTATCATGTAGCCCTTAAGCAGGGCAGCTTAAAAATGGCCAGCAGAAAACCCAAAGTCATGACCCTTTAAACTAGAGTTTCAACTTTTCCGTAGGAAGCTTGAATTTAATTCAGCAGCTGTTAGGACATTTAAGGATGAACATTTAAGCAAATGAGACTTCCCCGCTACTCTGAAAAGGGTGTTTTATCTCCCATTAGGGGTTTATATTTGTATTATAGTCTACCCAAAAACTATCCCTGCTTCCAATAAGTATCACTTAATTCTTGACCAAAGTACTGCTTTACCCTAAAGCCTCCTTGTCACCAACAAAAGCTCCATTCTTCTGTTTAGAATTTCCTTCTGCCTGAAAGCCTTTTATATTATTAATCTTCTTAAGTTGTTCTTGG